GATGGATGGATGATGGATGGATGGATGATGGATGGATGATGGATGGATGATGGATGGATGGATGGATGGATGGATGGATGGATGGATGATGGATGGATGGATGGATGATGGATGGATGGATGGATGGATGGATGGATGGATGGATGGATGGATGATGGATGGATGGATGGATGGATGGATGGATGGATGGATGGATGATGGATGGATGGATGGATGGATGGATGGATGGATGGATGGATGGATGGATGGAGAATCCACATGAGGATTTGTGGTGCTGAGGGATCTTCCCCACCCTGATCCTGATCCCATTCCCTAAGAGCTGCTCTGCTGTTTCCTCCCCTCTCCAGAGGGGACATCCCGGTCACCTCCTGTCCTGATTCCTGTGGTGGCCCCCAGGGCTAGCAGGGATGCTCCCATTCCCATCACAGGGACAACGATCCCTCCCTGGGATCTGCACGACCTCTCTGGGGCAGGGAACACTTCCAGCTCTCCAGAAGGAGTCCTTTCTTCATCAAGGGTTTAAATTAGGAGCCAACTTCTCATTCAGAAATAAAAAACTAGGAGACCCAAAATTCCAACACCAGACCCCAAATTCCAGCACCAAACCCCAAATTCCAGAGCCAGACCCCAAATTCCATCAGTCTCAGGTGCCGAGCTCAACCCCAAATGTGTAGATTTGTCTTGTTCCTACAACATTCCAAGCCAACTCCACATCCATGTCCTGGAGATGAATCCAGGCTCCATCTCAGTTCCAGGGACCTCCCTGGCACCCAGCCCTGGGACAGCCAACAGGAACGTCAGGAATTTGGGATACGAGGTCACCACTGTTCTTCCCTGATCTGGAGGCTGCTCCCATTCTCCCTGAGGTGACACCGCAACTGTGGAGGCACAAAACCAGCAGGAAAAGCTTGAATTTTGGTCCAAACCCCGAAATCCTGCTTGGAGAAACCCAACCCAACAGGACATGCTGTCCTTGCTGCCAGCATTGCCTTCCTGGAGGTGACAGATCCCAAATCCAGGTGTCACCAACGAGCCGGGACATCCAGGAGGGAGAAGGGCAGAGCCGGGCAGTGTCACCCAGGGCCACCACAGCGCTCGCTCTGGCCATGCCACCACCTTTTCCTGGCACATCCCAACGCCACCACCCATCCTGGCACATGCCAAACCCTCTCCTCGTCGCACAGGTCCCAGCAGAGCTGCGAGTGCCACCTGCGACGTCACCTCCTCGGCCCAGGCTTTCCGTGTACCTGCAGCAACCAAGATTTCAGTTAAGCAATAAAGAAACCAAAACCTTATTAAGGAAAAAAAAACAACAAAAAAAAAAGACAAAAAAAAAAAAGAAAAAAAAGAGACAACTCCTATTTCTTGCACTAAAAGCTGTTTTATTAACGAGAATAACGATGCTTTTCTGGTCCTCACAATGCCACCCACGGCATCAGTAGCGCCCCTCGCCCGTGTCTCCATGTCCTCACATCGTGCATCGGGGTTTGGTTGTTCAACGCTGTCTAAACCCTGTGTCGGACCCCCAAAATTCTGTGTCGACCCCCATATTCCATGTCAAACCCTAAAATTCATGTTGAACCCCAAAATTCTATGTCAGACCTCCAAAACTCCATGTCAAACCCTTAAATTCCATGTCAAACCCTTAAATTCCGTGTCAAACCCTTGAATTCCTGTCAAGCCTCCAAAATTCTGTCAGACCCACAAACTTCCATTTCAACCCCCAAAATTATATGTCAGGCACCCAAAAGTCCCATGTCACCCACCCAAAATCCCATGTCAACCCCCAAATTTCCATGTCAACCCCCAAAATCCCATGTCAACCCCAAAATCCCATGTCAACCCCAAAATCCCATGCCAGATCCCCAAAATCCCATGTCAGACCCCCAGACCAGAGTCCTCCCTCCAAAATATCATTTTAAATGTCTGTTCCTCCCTCTCACATCTGACAGAAAGTACCGGGACTGTTTTGTTTTCATTTAATTTGTAAATATCTCGTGATCCGTCCGTCCTCTCTGTCCAACCTCCCGGCTGGTCTCAAGTATCCTGTGTATTTATTTGCCTTTTTTTTTTTTTTAAAGCAAAAAAATAAAACAAAAACAAAGAAGAAGAAAAAAACCCCACCACATTTGCGTTAACCCCACCTGTTCCAGTGAGAAATGTAAAGCTGAGGCTGTAAAAATTCAGTTTCCAGCGAGATTTATGGACTAGAAGGGGAAAAAACAAAAAAAAGGGTTTAATTTAAGGACTTCTAAACCAACTGCATGAGAGATGAGAGAAGGCCAAACTACTCAGATATCTTTTTTTTTTTTTGAATCACTGTAAAAAAAGAAAATACTGGATTTTTTTGTATAGAGAAAACACTAAACATATAATAAAACATGGTTCAAAACTCATGCTGAGCCCGAGGGTCATTCCCATTGAAATCCAAGAGGAAAAAGCAGCAGAGCCTGGTCCTTGGCATTCCCAAAATTCCAAAATTCCCAACCTGACCAGGAGAGGAGGATATTCAGAGAGTGGTGCTGGATCAGCTCTGGATCCTCTCCAGAACCAGAGGTTGGATTGTGCCGGTCCTGAGCATTCCCAAAATTCCCTCTCTGGCCAGGAAAGGAGGATACTGGATCAGCTGGATCAGCTCTGGGTCTTGTTCAGCACCAGAAACTGGATTGTGCAGATCCTCAGCATTCCCAAAATTCCCTCCCTGGCCAGGAGAGGAGCATGCTCTGGATCCTGTCCAGCCCCATTTTCAGCCCCCAAACCCTCGGGAAGCACAGAGGGAGAAGCTCCCAGAGCTCAGAAAATGTGGGGTTGAGATCCCAGAGCTCAGAAAATGTGGGATTGACCCCAGCCCCCCATCCCCGGCGGCCAAGCGCGGCTCCCGCCGGGCCCCATCCCTCTCTCCCAGCCCTTCCTGCCCGAGGCTCCCGAGAGCTCCTGGCAGAGGCTCCCGGGGCGGAGAAGGGGCTGAAAGGAGGGGGAGCGGCGGAGTAATTTGGTTAATTGAGATGTAATTGCGGCGGGCCCGGCTAAGAGGATGAAGGGCTGAGTGCTTCCTGCTGCAGCGGGGGCTCCTCCCGCCCCTTCCCAGCATTTCCAGGAACAGCAGAGAGGAGGAAAAGCACTTTTCGCTCAGTGGAGACATTCCCAGCGCGATGGAGGCACCAGCCGTGCCCCAAGGAAGGATGGAATTGTGGAATTGTGGAATTGTGGAATTGCGCTTGGCTGTGGTGCAGAAATTCCATCTGCCTGGAACTCAGGGATTTCTCCAATCCCCCAGTGTCCCATTCCCCCTTCCCACAGCCGCTGGAAGCACCAAGCCCAAGGTCTGAGCCTCTCCTTAAATTCTTCCAGCATTCCCTTCGGGATTTTATCCCTCCCGGAGCGGCGGCGGGACCGTGCTGATCCTCGGGATCGATCCAGGCCACACGCGCTCGGTGGCGCTTTGATGGCCCGGCGGTGACACCCGCACGGTCCCTGACCTCCGGGGGGACAGGACCGGAGCGATGCCGGGTTCCCTCCTCCTCCTCCTCCTCCTCCTCCTCCTCCTCCTCCTCCGGCAGCTCTAGCCTGTTGCCCGTTCCCAGGCTGAGTTTTCCCTGTTGGATCTGAGGTGATCCAGGGGATTCCTCGCAGAGCGGATTTCCCTCCGAGTGCTGTCGCTGCTGTCCCGCTGCGTTGGCACCCGAGGGGTCACCGCTGTCCTTGTCACCTGCAGAGTGACCCTGGCGGAGCTGCTGCCGGCGGAGGCACAGAGGGGAGGGGACAAAGGGCAGGTCCCCCTCCCTCCTCTGGGACAGGGCTCCTTTCCTCCCCTGGATTTCCTTCCATCCATCCATCCATCCATCCATCCATCCATCCATCCATCCATCATCCATCCATCCATCATCCATCCATCCATCCATCATCCATCCATCCATCCATCCATCCATCCATCCATCCATCCATCATCCATCCATCCATCATCCATCCATCCATCCATCCATCCATCCATCCATCCATCCATCCATCCATCCTCCCCCTGCCGGACTGCCTCCCGCACTGTTCTTCCATTCTCACTCCCAAACTGGCAGCGGGGAGCCCAAACTGGGACAAACTGGGCGAGGGGAAGCGACAGGCGACCCTCAGGTCCCCTCCTGCCCGCTCACAGCCCGGGCTGCGGGAGCTTTGTCAATCAATAGAGACACTAATGCCTTAATTACTTTTGTCTAATTGCTGCCCGTTAATCTGCGGCCAGCCCCGGTGCCCGCGGATCTCCCGAGATCGTGAACAGGTCTGGGCTGGAGCTGGGAAGGGACGGAGGGACCCTGGCACATCCCAAATCCTCTGTTCCCACAGCCTGGCACCCTTCCCAGCTGGGCAGCGCCGCGCCCCCCACACCTCGGGGCCTGCCGGGGGTCCCGGGGTGTCCCTGTCCCTGTCACATCCCCTCGCGTCACTCCACGGCATCCCGAGAACAGCCGGGAGCTGCGGATCGTCCCGGGAAAGGCGCTGGGGGAGCCCCCTGGGGCAAACCTGAGCCCCCCGGGGCAAACCTGAGCCCCCCGGGGCAAACCTGAGCCCCCCGGCCACAGCCACGGCAAAGGGGGCTCGGAGACACCCAAAAACCCGAGGGTGACCCAAAGGTGACCACACTGTCACCCCCGCTCCGTCACTGTGAGGAATCCCCGTCCTCGCCTCGCGGAGGGTCGGGGACCGCCCACGCCAGCCGGAACATCCCAAAATTCGGCCGTGCAGCGATTTCCTCGGCGCGAATCCCACCCTTGGGTGTCTACAGAGCCAGGAACCCACGGAAACCCACGGGGAGATTGTGCAATTATGGATCCATGCTGTAAGCGTGGATATATTCACGCACGGGGGGTGCACACAGGGATGGGGGGCCCTGGGGCTGCTCCCACCCCACAGCGAGGGGTTCTGACCCCTCCAACCCCCTCCGCCCCACAGCTGCTCCGGCCCCGAGGGGGCTGTACCGGGGGGAGAGGCTGCGGGATGAATTATGCATGATGATGATGATGATGATGATGATGATGATGATGCCCGAGCCGCTCTGCCTGCCCGCCTGCTCCTTGAGCTGTGGCAAGCGAGGTAAAAGCAGGGAGGGGGGCGGGAGGAGGGGGGAGAGAACATAAATAAATAAATAAAACCCCCAACAATTCCCCGTCTCCGGGGAGCGGCGTGGTGGTTGGCAGCGAGCGAGGCAGCGCGCACGCAAGGAGGGAGGAGAGGGAGGAGCACATCCTAATGCAGAGATGCTGCAGTGGCTTTGGGCACACACATCCACCCTCGGCCAGCCACCAGGCGAGCGCCGCCTCGCAGCCCAGCCCCCGGCAGCCGCCAGGCCCCGCGGGCCCCCGGCTGATGCCCACGCAGCCCTCCCGCCGCAGGTAAGCGCTTTGTGCCGCTCTGCTGCATCCCGGAGGGATGGGCAGGGCTGCGGCTGGATCGGGGTGGATCGCTCCCGGCTCTCCGGGGCTCCGCTCCGGCCGGGAGGACGCTGCGGGGTCCCGCTGGGCTCCGCGGGGATGGGGACAGCAGCCGGGAGTGGTTTGGGCGCTCCGGGGCCGGGAACAGCAGCCGGGGGTGGTTTGGGCGCACCGGGGCCGGGAACAGCAGCCGAGGGTGGTTTGGGGATTCCGGACTCGGAAACAGCAGCCGAGGGTGGTTTGGGTGCTCCGGGGCCGGGAACAGCAGCCGGGGGTGGTTTGGGGATTCCGGACTCGGAAACAGCAGCCGAGGGTGGTTTGGGTGCTCCAGACCCGGGAGCAGCAGCCGAGGGTGGTTTGGGCACTCCGGGCCCGGGGACAGCAGCCGGGGGTGGTTTGGGCGCTCCGGGGCCGGCCGGAGAGGAGCCGGGGGTGGTTTGGGCATTCCGGACCCGGGGGTGGTTTGGACACTCCGGACCCGGGGGTGGTTTGGGCGCTCCGGACCCGGGGACAGCAGCCGAGGGTGATTTGGGCACACCGGACCCGGGGGTGATTTGGGCACTCCGGACCCGGGGGTGGTTTGGGCACTCCGGACCCGGGGGTGATTTGGGCACTCCGGACCCGGGGGTGGTTTGGGCACTCCGGACCCGGGGGTGGTTTGGGCGCTCCGGACCCGGGCACAGCAGCCGAGGGTGATTTAGGCGCTCCGGGCCCGGGGGTGATTTGGGCGCTCCGGACCCGAGGACAGCAGCCGGGGGTGATTTGGGCATTCCGGGCCCGGGGACAGCAGCCGGGGGTGGTTTGGGCGCTCCGGACCCGGGGGTGGTTTGGGCACTCCGGACCCGGGGGTGATTTGGGCACTCCGGACCCGGGGGTGATTTGGGCATTCCGGGCCCGGGGACAGCAGCCGGGGGTGGTTTGGGAGCAGGGGCGGCCGCGGCGGTGGCACTTGTGGCAGCGCTGCGCGGCCGAGGTCAGGGCGGCTGTCAGCAGAAATGTGTCATACGGGAAAAAAAAAAAAAAAAAAAAAAAAAGAAAAAAAAAAAAAAAAGAAAGAAAGGAAGAAGAAGGAATATTTCGGTTCTCAGCGATTGTCGCGAGGTTTTTTCCCGGCGCGTTCCGGCCCGAGGCACTTCGGGAGTGCGTTTTTGGGGGGTCGGGCATCTCCAGCGTGCTGGGGGTGGTCCGCAGAGGGTTCAGAGGGTTCTGCTGCCCAAAACTACTTCAGCAGCCCCAGAAAGAGCTGGGAGAGCCCTGAGCCCTGGCGAGGAGGGAGCAGCGGGCACGCCGGGGTGTCCCAGTTCACCTTCCTGAGGGCAGATCCCAGGGGTGCTCCCAGGGCAGATTTGGGGGTGCTCCGGGGGGATTTGTGTGTCTGGGGCTGTGCCAGGGACACGCGGGGCTGTGCCAAGCCGCGGATCCTTTCCCCCGCGGGCATGGGGGGCACCCCAAAATCAGGGCATCCCGAGGCTTTCCCGGAGCCCGAGCTCGGCCCTGCTCCTCCCAGGCGGATCCAGGAGGAATTCTGAGGGTGCAAAGCTGCAGCAGGGAACCTCGCAGGAGATTTAGGATCAAGAAATGAACCTCTCCAGGTTGAGTGTTTGGGATTTAGCACAGCGGAACAACCCCAAAATCCTCTTGCTTTGCTCAGCAGCGGATCCCAAACTTCCCAGAAATAACTGAGCTTTCCAAGGGGTGGCTCAGAATTCCCAAAAACTCCAGAAAACGGGAGATGGGGGGGGGTCCTGTCCAGCCCAGCTGCACTTGGGCTCGGGTAGGGTGAGACAAAGGGTTCCCAACGCTCCTCTCCATCCTCTGATTAATTCCTACAAAACTGAGTGGCCACTTTTATCCCTTTGGAATATTCGCAGGGGATTTGATGGTCTGGGTTAGGATTTTCTCCGTGGATTTACCACAAATAAACCATAAAGGGCAGAAAACCCAAACCGTGCCGTTAGGATGGGATTTACAGGGAGATCGGGATGGGTTTTGCAGGGAGCTCGGGATGGGATTTACAGGGAGATTGGGGTGGGATTTACAGGGAATTCGGTATGGGGGTTCAGGGTGATCGGCATGGGATTTACAGGGAGGTTGGGATGGGATTTGCAGGGAGATCGGGATGGGGTTTCAGGGAGTTTGGGATGGGATTTTCAGAGACATTGGAGTGGGATTTGCAGGAAGATTGGGATGGGAGTCTCAGGGAGTTCGGGATGGGGTTTCAGGGAGTTAGAAATGGGGGTCTCAGGGAGTTTGGGTGGGGTTTTCGAGGAGCTCGGGATGGGATTTCCAGGGAGATTGGGGTGGAGTTTTAAGGGAGATTGGGATGGGATTTCCAGAAAGTTTGGGTGGGGTTTTCGGGAAGTTCAGGATGGGATCTCCAGGGAGTTTGGGTGGGGTTTTCAGGGAATTTAGGATGGCAATTTCCCCATCTTCCATGGGTTTGCTCAGCGCGGCTCTCCAGCTGCACAAAATCCCTTTCCCTGAACGAAAAATCTTTCATTTTCCATTACAAACACCCCCGGTCCCGTTGTAAAATCCAGGATCCCACTGGGATGATCCAAGGGACATTCCCAGCCGGAGCCGGCCGTGAATCCCAACCCCAGCCCTGCCCAGCAACCCTGACCCTAAATTAGGACATTTATTACCTACCGGACATCCCTAAAAAAGATCCATAAAATCCAGGCGGGACCAGGAAAATCTGTTCAGAGCTGATCCCTGACAAGGCCGGGAATGTTTGGAGCCCGAACCCCAAACCCAAGGGCGGCAGGGAAGGTTGGAACATTTCCCGGGAAGAAGGAACATTTCTTGGGAAGAAGGAACATTTCCCGGGAAAATGAACATTTCCCGGGAAAAAGAACATTTCCGGGAAAAGGGAGCATTTCCTGGGAAGAAGGACCATTTCCCGGGAAAAGGGAGCATTTCCTGGGAAGAAGGAACATTTCCCGGGAAAAGGGAGCATTTCCTGGGAAGGAGGAACATTTCCCAGGAAAAGGGCACATTTCCCGAGAGGCGTTGGCAGCACCGGGAATGTGCCAGTGGGAATATCTGTGACTTTAAGAGGCACTAACCAGGATTTGGGGCCGGTGTCGCCTCCCGAATTCCCGCTGGGATCACTCCTGGGGGGATTTCCAGACTTCCAGCCCCTTTCCGGCTGCTCTGGGCTGAGTTTTGCGTTGGAGCTCGAGTCTGGAGCGGGAGTTTAGAGCTCAACCCCAGCCCCGTGCCCAGCCTGGGGGGAATTCCCTTCCCGAGCCGAAATTCCCCCATCCCTGGGGGCTGGAAATCCATGGAAAAATCTCCCGGCTCTTCCCGCTGGTCCCCTTGGCTTTGTCACTTGTCCCAAGGCTTTGGCTCAGGTCTGAGCCACCCCGAGGGTCCCGAGGTGAGCCAAGCCCAGAAGCCCCAGGAGCTCCAGCTCCAAACCCCTGGGAATTTTCCAAGGGATATTTCCATAGCTCAGGTTGGAATCCCATCCCCCCCCGAGATGGGAACGGGTTTGTTTGGAGAGGAAAAAGAGAATTAAAATATAATTAAAATGAAATAAGAAAATGATAAGGAAAAGGAAAAGGAAAAGGAAAAGGAAAAGGAAAAGGAAAAGGAAAAGGAAAAGGAAAAGGAAAAGGAAAAGGAAAAGGAAAAGGAAAAGGAAAAGGAAAAGGAAAAGGAAAAGGAAAAGGAAAAGGAAAAAAAAAAATTTTTTTAAAGCTCGCTGCAAAGCTCACATGTAAAATTCACTCTGCCCAGAGCAGAAAAGTCCCACTCATAATAAAATATTCTTTTTTTTCCCCCCCCTCCCAATTCGATTTTCCCCCCAAGCCCACCCCGCCCACTCCCCGTTCCATGTCCGGGGCCAAAGGCACCTCCCGGCTTTGTCTCCCGCACAAAGGCAGAGTTTGGATGGAAAGGAAACTCCCCCGAGCCCCGGGGACAGCGACCCGCGGGGCTGCGGCCAATTATTCGGGAAAAGCAGGAGCAGGGAGAGAGGGAGCGGCCGGAGATCCTGCTGGGATCCCACCAGAGCCGGGAACAGAAGGAGCCAAACCTCGGGTATTTGATCCTCCTCAAGCCCGTTCTGCTCCGATTAAATATATTATTATTAAATATATAATGATTTTAAATGGTTGATTTTAAATGATCGATTGTAAATTATCAGTTTAAGATCATCAGTGAATGACCCGGCAGTGCAGACAAGGGGCTGGTGCAGGGTGGGAGAATCTGGCGCATCCCATGGATCCCATGGATCCCATAGATCCCATCCCACCACATCCCATGGATCCCATGGATCCCATGGATCCCATGGATCCCATCCCACCCCATCCCATGGATCCCATCCCACCCCATCCCATGGATCCCATCCCATCCCATCCCATGGATCCCATCCCATCCCATCCCATGGATCCCATCCCATGGATCGCATCCCATGGGTCCCATGGATCCCATCCCACCCCATTCCATGGATCCCATCCCATGAACCCCATCCCATCCCATGGACCCCATCCCATCCCATGGATCCCATCCCATGGTCACAGAATTGCATCCCAAAGGACCAGACCCAAAAATCCCCAGTCCCATCCCAACTAAAACCCCAGAAATATCCCCAAAAATCCGTCTGATTTTATCCCAGCCGCAGTGGAGCGGGTTGGGTGCTGACCACCCCTGGTGGGGAATTCTGCTCTTCCATTTCCTCCCGAAAATTCCAAAAATATTCCAGAAGTTGTCTGGCTGGAGAAGGACAGGGACACAAAGACCACAGCTCGGCTGGGATGGGGCACCCCAAAGCGGCAGCGGCCTCCGAGCTTGGAACAGCGGGAAAATTGGGAAAACCAGGAAAATTTGGACCAGTGGAAACAGGCAGAGTGGAGACCCCGTGCTCACCCACCCAGCCTGCGCTCGATGTCCCTGCCCGGGCTGTCCCTTCAGGGCACAGGAGGGGCACAGAGCCCGTCCCCGCTCGGTGCCACCCCGGCGCCCCGGGAAGTGACGGATCCGCGGGGATTGGAGCAGATCCCGGCAGGGAAGGAGCCGGGGCTGGGAGCGCCATCTGCTCCCGCAGCCTGGGCCCCTCCGTGCCCCCAGCCGGGGACAGAGCCCTCCCGCTGTCCCCTTTCTGTCCCCTCCTGCCTGTCCCCTCCTGCTGTCCCCTTTCTGCCCCTTCTCCCTGTCCCCTCCTGCCTGTTCCCTCCTGCCTGTCCCCTTTCTGTCCCCTCCTGCCTGTCCCCTCCTGCCTGTCCCCTCCTGCCTGTCCCCTTTCTGTCCCCTCCTGCCTGTCTCCTTTCTGTCCCCTTCTGCCTGTCCCCTCCTGCTGTCCCCTTCCTGTCCCCTTTCTGTCCCTTCTCCGTCTCCCCTCCTGCCTGTCCCCTCCTGCCTGTCTCCTTTCTGTCCCTTCCCCAAGTCCCCTTTCTGTCCCCTCCTGCCTGTCCCCTTTCTGTCCCCTCCCGCCTGTCCCCCCTGTCCCCGTCAGTCCCTCTGTGTCCCCTCCTGCCTGTCTCCTTTCTGTCCCCTCCTGTCTGTCCCTTCCCCCTGTCCCCTCTTGCTGTCCCCTCTGTCCCCTCTCTGTGTCCCTGCCCGGCTCTCGGGGCGAGCACAGGGAGCAGCGAGCCCGGGACAGGGGGATGTGACCCCGTGGGCTCTGCCCTGGGAGGGGTGACACGGTGGGACAGGGACAGGGACAGGGACAGGGACAGGCACAGGGACAGGGACAGGAAGCTGCTGCTGGTGGCTCCTGCTGCTCCTCATCCTCACCCAGCAGAGCAGAGTGGATCCAGGCACAGGAAGAACATCTGGGATTTTCCCACCGCTCCAAGGGCGATCCAAACCCACCCGGGCAGGACAGAGGGGTGTGGGACCCTCCAGAAGTGTTTTGGGGACACATCTTGTGGCTGGGGACAGGAGCAGTGCCCACAGCACCCCTGGCATGGGGTCCTGACCCCTACCAGAGCAGGGACCCCCAAACTGCACTTTGGGGTCTGTTTGGGGTGACAGAACTCCACCCCAAGCCCCCAAGCCCCTCTTTTGATCCTTGTTTGGAGCCTTCCTTGCTCAGGATGGGTTTGGAGCAGCCCAGAATTCCTGCAGGACCTGGAGCCACCGACAGATCCGAGCCCAAAAAATCTTTCCTAAAGAGTTTTCCTCTCAATCCATCCCCGATTTCCAGGAGGACAAACCCCTGCCAATGAGCCCGTTTGTCCCTCCCCAGCCCCGCTGTGCCAGGACGGACACGATGTCCCCAACCTTGGGAAGGTTCTGAGAGTCAGAATCCCGGGAACATCACACGCCTGCCCTTTCCAGCTTTAGCCACGATCCCGAATAAAAGAGGCACAGGAGGAAATCCAGCCGGGCCCCGCTCGGGACCGATCCTTCCCTGGGGAATGCTGCGGCAGAAGGAGCTGCCCCACTTAATCCCAAATGCTCCTCTGGCGGCTGAGTGCAGGAGATGGAATTACACCGATTTATCCCGGTAATGGATAGCTCCGGACGCGGCATCTCCTGCCAAAATCCACCCTTGACCTCCCCAAAATCCCACTGGAATCGTGCTCCAGAGGCTGCAGCTCCGCAGTCCGAGCTGGGGGTGCCGTTCCGGGCAGTTCCTCCTCTCCGAATCCCCCCGAGCTCCCGGCTCTGCCCCCCGCTCCCGATCCGGAGGGAAGGGACCGTGCGGAGTCTCCCGGAGGTATCGGTGACAGCCTCCATTAGCGGCGGTGACAGATCCCCTCTCAGGACAGCAGCCGGCTCTCGGGTGGCTGCCAGAATACCCCGGGAACAGGGAAAAACTGCTCCCTGCGGCCCTTCCCTAATTAGGGATGAGAGCAGGGATCAATATCCAGTGCAGAGAGTTCCCGAGCTCTGGAGGAGCTGGGGGTTGGATCCAGGATCAGGAGCTGGGGGTTGGATCCGGGATCAGGATCTGGGGGTTGGATCCAGTACCGGAGCTGGGGGTTGGATCCAGGATCCACAGCTCAGGATTTGATCCAGGATCAGGAGCTGGGGGTTGGATCCAGGATCAGGAACTGGGGGTTGGATCCAAGATTGACAGCTCGGGATTGGATCCAGGATCAGGAGCTGGTGGTTGGATCCAGGGTCAGGATCTGGGGGTTGGATCCAAAATCCACAGCTCAGGATTGGATCCAGGGTCAGGATCTGGGGGTTGGATCCAAGATCCACAGCTCGGGATGGATCCAGGATCAGGAATTGGGGGTTGGATCCAAGATCCACAGCTCAGGACTAGATCCAGGGTCAGGATCTGGGGGTTGGATCCAGGATCCACAGCTCGGTGTTGGATCCAGGATCAGGAATTGGGGGTTGGATCCAGGACCAGGAGCTGGGGGTTGGATCCAAGATCCACAGCTCAGGACTGGATCCAGGGTCAGGATCTGGGGGTTGGATCTAGGATCCACAGCTCAGGATTGGATCCAGGATCAGGAGCTTGGGGGTTGGATCCAAAATCCACAGCTCAAGATTGGATCCAAGATCCACAGCTCGGGGTTGGATCCAGGACCAGGAGCTTGGGGTTGGATAAATCCAGGGAATGTCAGAGAAATTCCCTGGATTTTGGAGCTGCCCCAAGGAGCCCCCACCCCTAGGAGGGAGGACGGGTCCAACCCCGACCTCCTCCCGCTGCCTGGTCCTTATGGAAGGGATTTCAGCTGACAGAGAGTGGGTTTAGATGGGATATTGGGAGGAATTCCTGGCTGGGATGGAATTCCCAGAGAAGCTGTAGCTGCCCCATCCCTGGAGATGTCCAAGGACAGGTTGGAGCCACCTGGGATAGTGAAAGAAGTCCCTGCCCATGGCAGGGGGTGGGATGGGATTTAAGGTCCCTTTCCATCCAAACCAGTCCAGAATTCCACGAAAAATAACAAACCCCAGCTCCCCCCCTCTGTTTGCTGTTTGTTTTCAAAGTGTGAGGGGGGAGAGGGAACAAAGAAAGCAAAGCTGCAGCCGGAGCCTTCCCGGGCTCGGGAAACGGGGCTGGAAGCGCCGGAACAAAAACTCCCCGAGTTTAATTTGCAGCCGCTGGTGCAGGAACAGCTCCACCGCTCCCGCCTCTCCCAAACCCCGGATCAAGGGAACTGCGGAGATTTGGAAAAGTCAACTCATTAATTAGCGCAGGGCTGGCGTCTCCCGCAACCCCACAGCGCGCCCGGCTCAAAGCCACCCCTTGTCCCCAGGGCGGAGGGACAGGCCAGGGGAACAAAGGGACAGTGTTGGCTGCAGGGCCGTGGGCTCGGGACGCTGTTTGGGGCAGGATTCTCGGTGACATCAAGTGACTCCATGTGACCGAGCCACTCCAGGGCTGCTGGAACCAGCGGCTTCTGCGTGGGAGCGTCTCCCGCCCCGCTGCGCTCTGTCCCCAAATTCCCTGTCCCTGCCACAGCTCGTGCCTCTCCCACCTGGAGCTGCCACCTCCCTCTGGCAGCGGTTCCTCCCTCCCCGGCCGGGCGGGATAATGAAGCCCCAGCTTTATTTTGGGGATTGTCAGGGAACAGAATCCCAGCAGGGCTGAGGGCGGCTGTCCCTTCTTTGTCCTCTCCTTCCTGTCCCCTCTGTCCCCTCCTGTCAGTCCCCTATTTATCCCCTCCTGCCATTCCCTATTTCCCTCTCTGTCAGTCCCCTCTGTCCCTCTGTCCCGTGTCTGTTCCCCCTGTCCCTCTCTGTCCCCTCTTTGTCCCCTCTCTCTGTCCCCCCTGTCCTCCTCTGTCCCCTCCTGCCAGTCCCCTCTCTGTCCCTCTCTGTCCCTCTCTGTCCCCCTCTCTGCCCCTCTTTGTCCCCTCTCTCTGTCCCCTCTCTGTCCCCTCTGTCCCCTCTTTGTCCCCTCTCTGTCCCTTTCTGTCCCTCTCTATCCCCTCCTCTCTGCCCCTCTCTGTCGCTCTCTGCCCCTCTCTGTCCCCTCTGTCTCCTCTTTGTCCCTCTCTGTCCCCTCCTGTCTGTCCCCTGTCTGTCCCCTGTGTCCCTCTCTGTCCCTCTCTACCCCTTCTTTCCCCTCTCTGTCCCCTCTCTGCCCCTCTCTGTCCCCCCCTGTCTGTCCCCTCTCTATCCCTTCTTTCCCCTCTCTGTCCCTCTCTGTCCCCTCTGTCCCTCTTTGTCCCCCTCTGTCCCTCTCTGCCCCTCTCTATCCCTT